AGACTGCTTGCCCTGCCAATCCCTTCTCCATCTCTTTCCCCGGAAAACCAAGCCTGAAAAAAAAGAGCAATAGACACAACCCTATTGAAATAGCCAAAAAAAGTTACCCATCAGAGTAATACATAGATTCTGTGGAAACATATCACAAAACAAAATCAACAAACATAAGCACATTTTGCTCCCCACAACTATACACATCCAAGGGAAGAAAGTTCTCTGTTGGCACAGAATAAATGAAAGTGAAAGAGCTCAAGTTACCTCAACAGAGAACCGCAAATCTGCAGTAGCAATCAGTCCTGGTTTGAATTCCACCTACAATGTATAAAACAGAAGAAAGAATTAATGGTGATTAAAACCAATGGGTATCATTGTAATCCTTCCCACAAAATGACCCGACCTTAGTGCCACATTTCATTGCAATATCATGTAGAACTTCAGCTGGAGTCTCTACTGTTGAGGCAGGTCGTCCAGGTACAAAGTCAAGATCCCTGTTCCTGGACGAAGAACGACTCAAAGATGCCTCCTCCCCTTGAGAATTCATAACAGATCAATGGATTATCGTCAGAGCAAAATGATACAAAATGTGATGAAACACGAAAGACTTGGCTAGCTTACCATAGAAAGCATGAGAACCAGCTTTGTTGTTTGAATTTAGTAGTTCATCTCTATGGAATGACTGCAAATTTATGATGGCCAACAATATAATCCAGCATGATAAATACCACCGAAGTTGGTGATTGAAATCATGGCTCAAATAAAATAAAGTACTGAACTGATACCTCTTTTGGTGGTCTCCGATTCTCATGAAGCATCCTATCAGATTGAGTAGAAGTATCAATCTTAGAAAAAAAGGATGGCTGACAAAACCTAACCTTCTCCACACGGACCATTTCAGAATCCAATAGATATTCTTTGGGAACTGTTCGACCAATTAGAGATGGATCTATCTCCTCCTCAACTGGAAACCAGCCACTTCTTGGTTGCACATGTGGAGGTGGAACCTGAACTGGTGGCCTTTGAGGAAGTGGAGGTTCACTTGGCGCAAGATCTCTACTATCTTGTCCATGCTGCAATATGAGAAGCCTCCTACGAGTATCTGGATCTAACTCAGATTCAGGCACCTCACCTTCCTCCCTAGCTGGAGAATTTTGCAAGCTTGGTTCAGAGGAACCAGCAGAAACTAGTGGCTTAACCATTGGAGCCGGTTGTGGAAACTGCATAGGTGGAAAGGTACCAGTTGATGGTTGGGCTGCTGGTACTGGAACTGAGACAGAAGAAGAAGGCAAGCTAAATGGAAGGGAAGAAGCTAGTCTAGGATCTAGATTCACCCCAGTAGGGACGGATGAAGATGCAGAAATTGCCTCCTGGATCAAAAGGACAAAAATCTACTTTAACTCTCATCGCTGAGAAAAAATTCGTACAAATAAGATATAAGCTTTCTGGAGTTAGCACCCTTTATGAATCACTGCACTAACTTTGAAGAACAGATGAGTCTAAGAATTTTAATCACCTTCAATCTTCTCTCCACTTCGGCATCAGCCATCCCATCAAACGAAAGCGGATCTCTGTTCCCATTAGAACCTGATACATCGTCCTACATTGAGGGAAAATAAGCTATTGAAAAACAGTCCATATTTTCATAGAATGTAAAAATATGATATTTACAGAATAGAAGTCTCGATAAATTTCCTAGCAGTGGAAGGGCTAATCTATACAGCAGTTCCATGAGATATCTACTTACAGCCACATAAGAAATACAACTAACCTCAGAGACCAAATAATGGCTGACATCAGGTGGAGAAGGAATATCCTCGATGTCATTCTCATATGATATTTCCCCAATCTTTTGTAGCAGACCATCATCAAAGTCTCTGTTACCAAGTTGGCAAGTTCAAACACCATGTCACAGTAAAACAATGTTTAGAGAGCATGCAAACCCAACCGGAAGTCCCAAATACGCACACAAGACCACTGCATATCAATATGAATCCAATCATATTTAGCATCTTACTTGAAAAATCCTCCCCTGACATTGCAAGCAACATTTCTTGCAACACACAGTACAGGAATTGCAGTTGCCTACAAAAAATAAAAGGACTTATGTTATAAGCCATTCATCAATAAGACTCAATACTATACATTCGTGTGATTCTGCCACTCTATCATAACCAAAGGAAACTCCTATTTACTTCAGCTTGAGGAGCATAATAAGGAGCAAATGCAGGAACCACATGAACCCTTGGTTGATCCTTGTCATCCCATACTTTCAACCGATCATCTATCACCAGTGCCATCTTAGGATTGCAGGTTCCATCTAGAAACACGTTGAACAATGATTTTCTTGAACCTGTGATGGTAAATCACAAGCTCATAAGAAACCATACAGTGATTAAAACAATCACATGCTAGCATAAATAAACTTTACCACACTTCACACAAACAATGCGATCGAGCAACTCGTTTGTGTTAATCAAATTTCCTTCCGGATCAAGAAGTCGCCACATCTCTAAGGCATAATCCCTTTCAGCCATTGTGCAAACATAAACCTCAAAACGCTTGCGCCCTCTCGCAGTCAAATAACTACGAAGCTCCTCCCATGCAGGCCTTAACCTCACAAGAACACTCGTATCACGAATCTGTGTATGAAGAAAAGCATCAAGTTGTCAATCAACAGAATTCTGATCAATCCTCGTGCTTTGTAAAAGAAAA